TTGTCAGGAGACCTGAATCATAATCCTTGCTAAGACATTTAAAGCTCTGTGGCTATGGATAAGTCAGCACCTTTCAGCAATTTTCATCATCTCAGTTTCCTCCCCTATAAAGCAGAAATAATACCTCACGAGGTTGTTACAAGCAAAGCATTTGACAAATATTAAATGTCATATAAATACAAGTTGTTTTTGTTATTATTATTTTTCCACATTGTCTTCGTTGTCATCATTGTTTTTGTCACTATCATCATTGACAACATAAAATAGACCAGGGATGAAGTAATTAGCTATTTCAATATCTCTGGCTTTGCATTTTATGGTTAATTTATGGAATTATTGTTATTTTGGCTCTCTTCATCTCTTTCAATTATTAGCAAGTGTAGGGAAAGCACTGGATGTGATTTTTCTATATTAAAGGATCATAGATTTTGTACTGGAAGAGATAATAAAGGTCATTTAGTTTAAACTCCTCATGTTCTATGTAAAGTACATAAGTCCACAAAAGTGAAATGTCTTGCCCAAGGCCCATGGGGCATAGAGATGAGTTTCAAACTCAGGTCCTCTTTGCAAATCCAGAACATTTTTTCACACTCCCACACTGCCTCCCATGCTGCCAATCACATTCCAGTTCCTATATGACATCATGAATATGAAGTATAGTCATAAGAGTCTCCAGGAATGCTCACATGTCGTCTATTCACTTAGCACCAACAAAATGTGGCCTAATGGGATAATTTGTCTCCCATGTGACTTAATGCCCTAGTTAGCTAAGTGATAGTATGACTTCTACCCATTGTTCCTGGTTATGACTTCTGGGCCAAACTGAACCATCTCATTCCTCCTTTGCACGATAGAACCCAGAGATAACTGCTGCCTCTACTAATACGGATCATACACCTACATCCTTACATTGTGGCTTAATTGTATGTAGAGTGCAGACTTCTTGGAGGTAGAAATTATGCTTCATTTATTTTTGTTTTCACTCAATTCTTGACATGGTGTCCTGGTTTAGTAGAGAAAAAGCTCTTGATTACTATCAAAGTTTTGGATGCTAATCCGTTGTTTATCACGTCAACCTTGGCTACTAGTTGGCTATGTGATCGTGGACTAGTTATCAAACCTCTCTGGAAAATGAGTTTACGAATCCTAACTAGGCCAAATGAGATAAAGTATGTGAAAGTGCTTTTAAAATTATAAAGCCTTCTACAAATTATAAGAGATCACAAGGCAACGTTTATATATGATAAGTATTTAATAAGCATTTGTCAAATTAAATAAAATTTCATGGCCATTATCAAGCCCAAAGCTCAACCTCCACTCTTTTTTTCCTCAACAGAGAAGGCACAACACAAACATATACCCACCCATTCTAGTGTCTAAATTTCAAACCCTCAGTATCCATAAACATCACTGATGTTTTACTTTTGGTCTTGCTACTATCATTACTTGGCACATAAAAATTGTTTAACAAATATTTTTTCACTCGCTCACTCATTCAATCATTCATTCACTAATATCCTAAATATTTGCCTCCTCTTTGAGCTCTGTAAACTCTTTTTTTCTTATGCTTCTTCCCCCTAAAATATGGCTTCTGTCTGGTTTTTCTATCAGCAGGGTCTTCTTTGGGGATTTAAACTCAAAATTGGAAATTTTCTCTATTGCTTAAAGTACTCAACAGACTCAACTACTCCTCTGCTGTCTCTATAGCCCTCCACAGTTTTCATTTGATTTCTTGAAACATAGGTCTGTAAAACAGTACTTTAAAAAGCCCAGTGTCTTTTAAATGGAACTATTTAACAAAGCTTTTTAAAGCCAATCATTCTGGCCTTCACTGAATGGAGAACAATAAGCAGAGCCCAAGCCCCTGTGGCTCATTATTTAGGTTTTGATGGTTTGAGTGTAAATAGCAATTGTTTTCTATTCTGGCCAGAAACTCTTATGGTCTTCCCCTCTCAGACTGATATCTTTGGGATAGTAAATTGGGCCATCTTTTGTCTCAAATCTTACCTAGTACTTAGTCATTGAATGGGAGTAGCCTCAGAAAAACTGAGTCCTGGAAGAGACCTTAATTTAGGAGGGCCAAGGTCACCCACTGCATCCTAGGCCATCTTCTGGACTCTGACTCCAGAAGAGAGGGTGAGTCTGATGACTTTGCACAGCTCTGCCTCACTCAAATCCAGTTTCATGAGCAAGTCAAGACATCACTCTCATGATGTCCTTGGTCCTCTTTGAGAACAGACGGACAACAACAATTATTTTTTTTTCTGGTAGACATAGAGATTCTTCATTAGTGTGAAATGGCCCAAGTCCTGAGCTCCATTGCCTGCAAATCTTGGAGTCTAAACCTCAAGAAACCCAGGTATGGCAGCTTGTGCTTCCTGGCTACTTTGGTTATACTAAGAAGGTTATACTAAAAATTCCTTTTTTAATTTAGAAATTTATATTAATTAATTAATTACTTGATAATTTATATTAATTAGTAATTGATTAATATTAGGAATTTATGAACTGGACCTTGCTAACCTGTGTTAGCCTGTGCTTTGACTCCTACGTGGAAAATAGACCCTCTCCTTTCCCATCTCAGGATAGAAAGGACCCTGGGTTAAAACCCCTGCTCTACCATAATATAAGTAAAAATCAGGCAGATTCAAGTATGTAGCTCCCGATATTGGTGGTAGTTTACATAACAAGAAAAGACAGAAGGGTGTAGAGGAAAAAGTATTGTTTCTGGAGTTATGGGACCTGTGTTAAAATAATCTAACACTTACTACTAGCATGCCATTAAGGAAAGGTTGCATAAACTCCCTGGCCTCAGTTTCCTTATAATAAAGGGATAGCCTCTGAGGTTCCTTCCAGCTCTAAATTTATGCTACTATGGACTTTTAAGCCCTTGATAGTTGTGATTTTTTGCACTCCTAATTTTCCTGCCCTAGGATCACAGAGGACAGTGAATCTTCCTTAGTTCCTCCTTACCACTGAAAAAAAGGTGATATTACTTTCTAGAATGATCAACCCTGACACCCCCAGATCTGGTAGGTATGAGCCTGTAGGTATGGTAACATGGTAGCAGATCTAGTGTCCTATCTTAGACTCAGGTGATATTTTCATCCCTTCCCCTAAAAGCCCTGCTTTTTAGCTAAAGCTACTGCCTAGCAATGAATTGTGATCCCTGCTATTGTTGTGTAATATTCTTCCTAAAAATTTCATTTAGCAAGATTTGGCTTTTCTGACTAGGCCAACAAAAGCAAGCACAGAGAGGATTATGAATTATTACTGAATTATATTGATTCTTTGAAATGTTGGCTAAGATTTAAAAGGAGGCAGAAAAATCAAACATTTGTAGAGGATTCTGTCTTATGGTATCAGGGCAACAGGTTTAGAGAACTTTCCTGAAAAGATATATACTTAACATAAAAATAACTCCTCCTATACTAAAAGCAATCTCTTTCTCTCCCCCTTCTTTTTCTTTCTTTGTTTCTTCCTCTTTTCATCTCCATGAATAAAATTCTCTCTCTCTCTCTCACTAGAAAATGAGGATTTTTATAGGCTTGGAGCACACTGAAGAAGAGCTAAGAAATACTGATGAAGAAATATTTACTTAACCACAGAGATTCCAAATAAAATATCACAAGTTCTTGAAAACCCATCAGGGAAGCCATATGGTCATACACTATGAGCAGGATTGAAATTCTGGAACCTTCATTTTAATCCCTGCCTTGCCACTTATAAAGAGTACTGAATTAATTTTAGTCACTTTCAAAAAGGAAGCCCAGGCAAAAGAAATAGAAATGATTATAGGTATTGAAGAAGTTATAGAAGTAAAGGTTAAAGCACAATGAAAAAAGGAAACTCTAAGGGGTAACTTCAATACTGTCTTCTCGTATGCCATGGGGGCAGAGGAGGAACACGAGTTGTTATTCATGTTACAGAGTACTGAACAAGAAAAAGAGGTCTTTTCACCAAAACAGGAGAGATTTTCACTGGCCATGAGGAAGAACATCTATAATGTGGAAAAACACTGAAACAAGCTAGGGAGGGTGACTTTATCTTTGAGATAGTAGTCAATTTTCTATCCTAGATGCTTTAGACTTTCACCTGCCTAAATATAGGGCACTGGACTAGATGACTCCTCAAAGTCCCTTCTAGTTCCATGATTCTACATTCAGTATCTGTGAGTCCAGCCTTTTTTCAATCAACAATATTTATTGACTGTCAACTACGGGCTCAGTATCATACCAGATGCAATGGTAAGTAGATAAATGTGAAATGATTCCTGATTCAAAGAGTTCATCATCCTGTTGAGAAGAAAACGCTAATACACATTAGCATTTCATTTGGACAATGGTAACTGATGACAGAGAGAAGGCAGAGCTGGTCAATTGTTATTTTATTTCTGCTTTCTCTGTGAAGGACAACACTGGAAATGACGGCACAAAAATAATTAACAAGAAGTTGATATGAAAGATTAGGAAATAATAATTATCTAACCTGGATGAATTCCGTTCACTAGATCCAGATGAGCTACAACCTTGAGTCCTGAAAAACAAACAAACAAAAAACCAAATCCAAACTTGGCAGGTGTGATTACTGAACTACCATTAGTGCAATTGGAAACATCATTGGGATAAGTGAGGTAAATGTTCTTCCAATTTTCAAAAAAGGAAAGAGAAGACTCTTCAATCTACAGGCTTTCATTCCAGGGACAATTCTAGAATAGATCATTAAAGAGATGGTTAGTTAACATCTAGAAAGGGAAATAGTCATTACAAAGAGGAAGCATGACTTCATCAAGAATCTCTGATTCTAGGGGCAGCTAGGTGGTGCAGTGGATAGAGCACTGGCCCTGGAGTCAGGAGGACCTGAGTTCAAATCTGGCCTCAGACACATAACATTCACTAGTTGTGTGACTCTGGGCAAGTCACTTAACTCCAATTGCCTCACAAAAAAAACAAACCAAAACAAGAATCTCTAATTCTAGTCCAGAGACATGGCAGCCCACAATGCCAGCAGCAGGTTTGTTAGGAATTTGCTCTCAGTGGTTGCTCAGAGCAGCATGGAGGGTACAGGCTGCCACTTCTCTCTTCTGGAGCTCCAGCATGTCCTGAGCCATGGTTGCCCTCTGGCAGTGGAGAAATGGTCCTGGGCACCAGAGGGCCCCTTAGAAGAAGACCTGGAAAAAGATGTCAGGTTTTATGAGAAGAACCCAGACTCCCATGATTTTGATGAAGCCCCGTCAGAGACCTCTGGAACATGAGAGTTGTGTTCTTCTTTGGCATCTCTGTGGCCATTGTCCTGAGTTCTACCTTTCTGGCCTCTCTCCCTGACTACAAGATGAAGGAGTGGGCTCAGAGGGAGGCAGAGCTACAGATGAAGCTAAGGGAGGCCCAGAGTCTTCCCCTTATGAATTCCAACTATTTTGATCCCAGCAAAATTATTTTACCTGATGATGAGGACTGGTAAACCCCAGCTATGAATAAAGTGATTCTAATTCTGTGTTTAAAAATAAACAACAACAAAACTCTCTAATTCTAGACTTTAATTCTAGAATTTCTTTTTGTGAGAGGATAGCTAAACAAGTGAATCAGGGGAAATGTGTTTATGGCTTAATAAGATTTTCGCAAAGATTTTTATAAAGTATATAATGTTATTCTTTGCTGAGAAGACGGAGTGAGTGCTATGATTTAGACAACTATCTATTCAGATAGGTTAAGAACTGGATGTATATCCTGACTCAAAGAGTGGTTATTGATGGTAAGTTAACCTGGAAGGAGGGCAGAGATGATTCTTGGGAGGAGAGACTAGACTTTTTTGTTAGGCCCTGGAGGGCAGAATTTGGAGCTATGGGAGGAAGTGGTAAGATGTCAAGAAGTACCCCAGGGACTTCTGCTTGACAGTATGCTGTTTAATATTTTTATCATGAGTTAGCTGCAAGCTCATGAGTCAGCACTGTGATGCAGCAGTCAAAAAAATTAATGTCATCTTTGTGGTTGTTGTTGAGTCATTTCAGTCACACTTGACTCTCTGTGACCTCATTTGGGATTAAGCCACATAAAGAGAGGTGATGGTCGGACATCATCTCGAATATCGTCTTCAGTTCTGAGTACCATGATTAAAGAATCACTTTAATAAACTGGAGAGTGGTCAGAAGAGGGCAACCAGAATGGGAAAGGGCTTTTAGTCCCCATCACATGATGAGCAATTGAAAGAAATGTGTCTGCTTAGTTTGAAGATGAGAACACTCAGGGGGATGGGCAGAGATGATGCTTGGGAGGAGAGACTAGACTTTTTTGTTAGGCCCTGGAGGGCAGAATTCGGAGCTATGGGAGGAAGTGGTAAGATGTCAAGAAAAACTTCCTAATAATTTGAGCTGTCCAAATGTGGAATGAGCTTCCAAGGACTAGTGGGTTTCTCTTCCATAGAGGTCTTTGAGCAGAGAATGGACAACCATTTATCAGGTATGTCATATTTGGAATTCCTCTTGTAGGTGGGTTATACTATATGACTAGAGAATTTCCTTCCAATTCTCAAATTCTGTGATTCTCTGAGAAATAGGAGTGCTAAATGATGCAGTACAGGCTACTTGGGATCACAGATTTAGAGCTATGAGGGAACTCTGAAGCCATGCTATGGAGGAGGAAATTGAAGCCCAGTGAGGTTAAGTGACTTACCCAAAGTCACATATGTCATAAGCATCAGAAATAGAATTTGAATCTAGGTCCTCTAACTACAGGGGCAGTGCTCTTTTCATCCTACCACATCTCCTCAGAACTCAGAGAAGGGGTAGATACAACAAAGTCTGAAGTAGCCAAGAACAGTTTTAATAAGTAGGTTAACCTTGAAGGATAGGAAGATTCAGATAAACAGAGAAATAGAGGATGTTCTTATACCCCCCTATTTGTTTCCTACGGTAGTCCAAAATCACATTAACTTTTTTGGCTGGCCACATCACGTTGTTGGAAAGAAAAACAATAAAAATACATGGAGATAGCAATGGGTATGTTGTGTTAAAAGATGATTTTTTTTTTCTTAGATTGAATTAGGTGGCATCAGGGCTGGCTAGCAATTAGGCTATTAAAGTAAATCATCTGTGAATTGATGTGATTATAGTATTTGCTGGTAATTGGAACAGAGAATAAGGGATGAATATGAAGGACACTTAAAATGAAAAAAAAACAACAATGCCATAATTTAATGTTTGACTAGATACGGGGTCTTAATGAAGCTTCAATAGAAATCTCAAGGGAGAATATAACTGTCTTACAATATTTGAAGGGTTGTGATCTAGAAGAGGGAATAGACCGATTCTATGTAGTATCAGCAATAAGAACCAACGATTGGACGTTACAGGGAGGCAGATTTCACTTCCCTAGAAAGAAGACTTTTCTTACAACTAGAGTTTCCTTAAAGAGGTAATGAGTGCCTTGTCAGTAGAAATGTTCAGCATGTGGATCACAGATTTGGGGTTAGAAAGGGCTTAAGTGTCATTTAGACAAATATATAGAGTGGATTGATATGGTGCATGCAGAGATAATCTCTAAGTTCCCTGCACCTAAGACTATGATTATCTATCTATCTATCTATCTATCATCTGTCTGTCTAGCTACCTAATTTGTGACTGTCTTAAGGGGCATTCTCTCCTCCCACCCTTCATGCCTTTCTTTTCCTCCTTCTTACATGTCCTGACACTGTAGTACCCTACTCAAATAATACTGGAGCCATAGGACCAAGAGATATAGGACCAAGTTGGAGGCAGTGGTGGTGTTAGGAACATTGAGGTGAGGCAATCCCCAGAAAAGAAGCATCCTCTGTGTCCTTGGGCTGGGAAATACTGGGAATTGTTAATAACAATCAGGAGAGAAGAGGAGCTTCTATGACATCCTGGCTATGACTGAAGATATATAGAAAACATACAGATATCAGCAAGTGCTTATATTTAAATTATTTGGAAATATTTATGAGTGCTAGTTTTATTTCCGTTAACTGAAGCTTTGACAAAATGATGGTGGTAACTAAATTTGATTAGGAAATTTAAAAAAAAAACAACTTTATGATAATTGCATGGTCTATGATGTTGCATATTTTGATTCATGCCCTACATTGCTTAGTAGGTTATTTCCAAAATTGTAACCAAGGTACTATTAACATTTTGTATGTATATATGGTTTTTCTTCCAAGGATCATAAAACACTTTATAGCTAACATCTCATTAATCTTTGCAAGAAAGGAAGAATTATCTCTAGTTTGCAATGGGGGACACCAAGATAGAAGCTAAGGTCAATGGGAAAGGTATGAAGAGAGACGGGTCTCTAAAATCTATGTCCTCCTAAATACAACCTAAGGAAAAACTATCTAAGTCCCATACAACAATGTATATACAATGTCTTATTTCCCCTCAGATGTAAAACTCCTTAAAGTCTCAGCTGTCTTATTTCATAGCACTTGCATAGCATTTGCATACCATATTAATATTAATATAAATAAATGTTGCCAGTTGTATAAGGACCACATAGGTAGTATAGGTTGGTGTCGGTGCTGCTGGGTTCTGGGTAGCAAGAGAAATGACAGAGGCCTCCAGCTAGCCAGAAGCTTACAAGTAAGTTGGGAAGCTACTACATATGCATGCCTAAAGAGATAGAATAGTGCAAAGGAGGATAGCCTAAAATGACTTGAGCCACATAGTGTATTTACAAAGAGTTTTTATTTATTGGAAATTAGAAGACATGGTTCAAGTATCAACTGTCCCACCAATTAGCCATGTGATTTTAGGAAACTTACTTACCCATTCTGAGTCTGTTTCCTTATCTATAAAATGAGAAGATTGGACTAAACAAATTCTAAGGTTGCTTCTCTTTCTGATGCTATGATTTTGTAAGGTGAGATCAATCATTATGACCCGAAATAGTCTAGTGGAGCTTACGCTAGCTCTGGAAGGAAGGGTAAAAATTAGATTAAGTGGAGAGAACATGGAGAGCGGGAGGAGAACTGAACAGAGGCAAAAACAGGGATGGAAGGAAGACTGTACCTAAAAGGTGTTTTAAAAAATCATCTTGTGATTAACCTGATAAGTGCTTATAGTTCTGGAAGGTTAAGCACAATCAGAAGAGCTTGCAAAATTATTCTACTAGTATGACTGATAATGTATTAACAATAAAGCCTCTACCTGCATAATAGGACTTTCAATGACAGCAACAGACAAATGAAGAGAGATAGCAATAGACTAGATTTCCACCTTTTAGAAGAAATCCATATTGTATAAAACAAAATTATCATGTTGTAAACTGATTTGACCTGAAATAGATCAAGTTATGATGACATGACCACTGGGCAAACCAGTTCTCGTTCACACATCTGTGTACCTTTCAGGCTTCATAGAAGTCTTGAAACAAATTTCAGGAAATAAACTGGCATTGATATTATTTGGTCATTTTTCACTTAAGTCTTACTCTTCATGACCCCATTTAGCGTTTTCTTGAGAAAGATGCTGGAGTGGTTTGCCAATTCCTTCTTTAGCTCATTTTATAGATGAGGAAACTGAGACAAACAGGGTTAAGTGACTTGCCTAGGGTCACACAGCTACTAAGTGTCTGAGGCCATATTTAAACTCAGGAAGATTAGTCTTCCTGAATGCAGGTCCAGCACTTTATCTAATGTGCTGCCTAGCTGCCCTTCCTACAAACTATAAAATAAACCAATAGGAGCATATTAACCTTCTCCTACTCCCCGTAGTTCCATGGGAAAATTCGGTTCCCACTTGAAAATGAATTTCCTTGTCTCAAATTCCCTAAGGTGCCAGGTGGGGGTCCATGATGCAGGAGCAAAATCCAGGATCCTTTAAGAGGTTGAGGGGCTATGCATGTTGCATCCTGGGCTCCTTTACCTTTTCCACTTCCTCTCTGAATACCTAGGCATAGAGTAAGGAATGTGGGGAAAGTTCGCCAAATTAGGATTCTTCTATGGGAGAATTTTAGGATTCTGTTCCTTAAGCTGAGGTTTGGAGATAACATGGCCATTTTCTCCCAGCTAAGAAACCGAGGTGATTGACAGTGGTAAATAGCAGAGAGCCCTCAAAGTGCCCAGGATATGCAGAATACAGTTTCAGAGATTGTGAAATCAGACAGTCTGTGCTCTCAAAGAGTTTACAATCTAACAGGAAGACCTAGTGCTGATGAGAAAGAAGTACTCTATTTGAGGTTGATTCTCAACTCAGTAAATACCTCCCTGCCCCTTATCTCTATATTCTAGGCATTTTGAGGGCTTACTTCCCCCAAGAAGCTTATATTCTAGTGAATTGTTTAATTAAATGGCATGTTTAAAAATTCTGAATTCTAAATCTGTTTTTAAAAAGAGGTATTTCTTAAGAAAGGTTTTTTTTCCATTGAATGAGCATTTATATGAAAGACTAACCTTTAATTACCTTTTTATTTAGCTAGAACTTGCTCAGTAGAATGGAAGGTATATCA